ACCCACGTCGTGGTTCCACTCGATCGGAAACCGCCCTAGACGGCGACGGAAGTCGGCACGGTCCGCAGTGAAGCGGCGGCCGCCACGGCCCCCGCCGATCAAGGGGCCTGGCTGAAGCGCAGCAATTGGCGTCCCCGGCAGGATTCGAACCTGCGACCCCCAGATTAGGAATACCATTTACCGACCCCGCTGGGGACCGCGTTCGCCACTAAACGATTGCCTTTCTTAACATATTTGGCCCATGATTCCCGCTGTGCTACGCCTTGGCCCGCTGCCAGAACGGTCCTGCGAACCGTTTCCGGGCTGGGTAACACGGTTCGCAGCAGGAGAAGACCATGCCAGATATCCTAACACAGAAGACCGTGGAGGCGGCCAAGTACGAGGGCCGCACCCGGTTCGTGCGAGACGCCAACGTGAAGGGCCTCATACTTGCCATCAACAAGACCTCGAAGACATGGAAGGTACAGGCGGACCTCTGGCGGGACCGGAGGCTCGTAAAGACCGTGCGCCACACCTTGGGCTCGACCGACGACCTGAGCCTGCGGCGGGCACGCGAGCACGCCCAAGAAGTGCTGCGGCAGATACGCGCGGGCGTTGATCCCAACGAGCCGGAGCCGGAGGCTGAGCCAACACCGGGCGTCGGCAGCATGACGGTCGGCGAGCTTTGGGACGCCTACGAGACGTGGATGCGCGAGCAGGGCCGCGCGGAGGTAACAATCGAGGGCTTCCGCCGCCATCTTGACAAGTACCTGGACGACTGGCGCGACGACCCGATCAGCGACTTGCGGAAGTCGATGTGCCGGGAGCGGCACGAGCGGCTGACCAAGAACCACGGCAAGTACCCGGCCAATCAGGTCATGCGGTCGCTGCGGGCGGCGTACAACTTCGCAATCAAGCTGGACGACGACGACGTGCTGCGCGCCAACCCGGTCGGCGGGGTCCACTTCCACCCCGAGCGCCAGCGCGAGGCGATCATCCTGCCCGAAGACCTGCCGGACTGGTGGCGGCGCTCCGGCGAGCTCCCGAACCCACTGCGCACGGCGATGCACCGCCTGGGCCTGCTGTCCGGCCTGCGGCCCGGCACGCTGGTCGGCATCGAGCGCGAGTGGATCGACCTCGACGGCAGGGCTATCACCATCCCGCGCATGAAGTCGGGCCGGAGCTTCGCCCTGCCGCTGTCCGAGCCGATGGTCGGGCTGGTCGAGGAGGCACTGCGGATCGGCGACGCCCTGTATCGCGATCCGCCGTGGCTGTTTCCAACGCGCACGAACGACGGGCGCGAGGTCATCGCCACGCGGGTCTGGAAGGAGAAGACCATGCGCGGCGAGACCGGCCACATCCTGCGGCACACCTACCGCACCATGGCCGAGCGTCTGGGCGTCCCGCAGAGCCGCGCCCGCGCGCTGCTCGACCACAAGCAGCCGGGGATCGAGGCCCACTACGTCCACTCCAGCGCCCTGCGCGACGAGCTACTGGCCGATCAGGAGCGGATGAGCGCCTACATTCTTGAGACCGCCAAGGCCCGTTGACCTTGCCCGGCGGCGACACGCGGGGTATACGTATAGTTGTCGCGCAGGCAGCGCGAAGACCGAAAAGGCCCGCTGGATAGGCCCCTCGCGTCGAGGTCCAGCCCGCCCCTTTAGCCGGTCCAGGCCGATCGCTCGAAAACGCCGATAGCAAGGCAACCCTCGCGGGGTGACGTCCCGCCAGAGGACGGCCTTGTCATGTCCGAACTTGATCCCGTCTGGGAGAGGCACGCGCGCGAGATCGCGTCGCGCGTCGCTGAGCTTCTGCGCGAGCGGTCCGCCGTCGTGCAGGAGTACCTTAGCCCAGAGGAGGCCGCGCGCCTCCTGGGCATGCCCATCCGCACACTCGAGAACTATCGCGTCCGCGACGCTGGCGGGCCGCCCTTCCATCGCATCAGCAGCCGCCTCATCCGGTACCGGGTGTCGGAGCTGCACGAGTGGATGGAGGCGCGTCGCGTCGAGTGCGAATAGCAAGCGGCCCGCGCCGAAGAGGAGCGGCGCGGGCCAGATTTCCAAGCGGAAGGAAGAGACAGTGAGCACATCCAACCGAGCAAGAGGAGGCTGCAATGCCTGAACAGCATACTGCCCCGGACGGGGCCAACCCCGAAATCAGTTTCCACAACGGCACGCCCATCCTGAGCGTGAAGGGTCATCACGTAACCCATCCCGACTACTTCAACTCGCTGCCATATATCGAGCGGCGTCGGGTCACCTACGATGAACTCTGTGCGCGGGCGGCCAAGGAGGGCCTGCCGACACCCAGCATCGCCGAATGGGCCAAGACGTTCCGCCTCACCGACGCCGAGCTGCGGGCAATGGACGAGCTCATCGAGGCGCGGCGTGACTCGCACTGCATCAACGAGCTTGGTCCGAGGTTCGTGATCCGCGAGTACGGCAACAAGGCACGTGTCGGTTGGTTCGATGACCGAGGCGAGCTTGTCACGATGAGCTTTGCCGAGTTCCACAACGCCCACATCGAGAAGACCGTCGAGATTGGCGTGGACGCCGAGGGCAAGCCGAGGCGAACGCCGCTGACGAAGTACTGGCTCACGCACCCGCTGACCCGACGCTACGACCGCGTCGAGTTCCTTCCGGGTGTCGAGCCTGAGAACATGCCCGAGGGTGTCCTGAACCTATGGCGCGGCTGGCCAATGCCCCTTCGTCCGGGTTGGTCCGAGATGCGCATCGGGCCCAACGGTCCCGAGCCCTCGCGCCGCACCATCTTCGACACCGGGGCCATGCCCGAAGGCTACTGCGACATGCTCCTCGACCACATGCTCAACAACATGTGCAGGGGCGACGAGGAGGTCATGCACTTCCTGCTCGCGTGGATGGCCGACGCGCTCTGGAACCCCGGCCCGTGCGAGACGGCGGTTATCCTTCAGGGGCCGCAGGGGTCCGGCAAGACCTTCTGGGCAGAGCGGTTCATGGAGTTCTTCGGCATCCATGCCCTCACGCTGGATGACGAGGATCAGGTTGTAGGCAACTTCAACAAGCACCTGATGAACAAGAGCGTCATCTTCGCCGACGAGGCGTTCTTCGCCGGAAACCGGCGGCACGCCGCCAAGCTCAAGACGCTCATCACGCGGCCCGACCTGTTCGTGGAGCCGAAGGGCGTAGACGGCTTCACCGCCCCCAAGATGTTCCGGCTCATCATGGCGTCAAACGACGATCATGTAATCCGCGCGGAGCGCGATGATCGGCGCAACCTTGTGCTGCGGGTAGACGCGGGCGGGCACAATCAGGATCGCGAGTACTTCGCGCGGATGCACAAGGAATGGCGCGAGGGTGGCCGCACAGCATTGTTCCGATGGCTCACCGGGGCATTCTGGGGCAAGGCGGTCAGCAACGGCCAGTTCCGCATGTGGAGCCGCCCCGTTACCGCCGCGCTGCAAGAGCAGAAGGACATGTCGCTGCCCCCGGCGCAGATGGTCGTGCACAACATGCTCCGCGAGGGTGACCTACCGTGCGACTTTGCACCAGATACGCGCAACGGGGCCGTGTTCGTCCCGACCCGCCTGCTGGTCAGGGAGACGCGGCTAAAGGAAGAGGACGAGAAGGCGCTCGGCGATGCCCTGCGGGTGCTGGCCGGTCAGGGCGCGAAGAGCGTCCGCGTCTATCTCGGCGAGGGTCGCGACCGCCGCCAGCATCGCGGCTTCTGGCTACCGCCGTTGGAGCTGTGTCGCCAGCGATGGGAGCAGCACCTTGGGCGCGCCGTCGCATGGCCCGCCGATGTCGCGAGCTGGGCCGTGGATATCGGGCCGCCGGAGAATGGCGATGACGTGCCGTTCTAAGTCGGCTCGGTCGGCGTACCCGACTTCCTACCCGACTTGTAATTTCGCTCATGGGCCCAAGGGCTTGCGCGAATTTAAGTCGGGAAGGCGGGTAAGTCGGGGGTTTTCGGGTTGCGCCCAAAGGGGCGGTGCAGTCGGCGCGCACGTCGCTGTACCGTCTTCTTCTGTTTCTAAGCGACTTACCCGACTTACCCGACTTAACCCTTGGTATTCGGAGGTTTGCGGTAAGTCGGGTCCCAAGTCGGGTAGCGGCGATCCGACTTGCTGCGACGACGCTGCCTCCCCCTGGGCCTCTCGCCAACCGTCCCTCCCCGTTTGCCGGATAAAAGGACAGTCCGCCCCGCACCGGGCAGGCATCATCAAACTGGCGCGGACAGGGTCCAGCCGCGCTCGGTGCGGGGGCCGTCGAACCCCATGGCCCGGCGGCCCCCGGATCACCAGTCCCAGGACCTGTGGAAGCTAAGTTATGCCTAGGCCACCGAACCTGCCCGACGCACCCCCGCAGCGGACCGTCCCCCGGACCGCGAGGGGACCGCGCAGCCGCTATGTGGCGACGGAACACCCCGGCGGGCTGAGCGGCATCCGGTACGTTCTCAAGCCCGCCGGATACGGGCTCATCGAGCGCATGTCGGCCGGTGGCCGAAACCTCGCCAGCATCGCCGCCGCCCTGGGCATCTCGTGCGAGACCTTCCGCGACATGCGCCGCCGCGACCCCGAGGCGCAGGAGGCCCTCGACCGGGGCCGCGCCGCGCTCGGCGACGAGCTGACCGACATCCTGTTGGAGCACGCCCGCAAGGGCATCACCGTCGCCGCCATCTTCCTCGCCAAGGCTCGGTGCGGCTGGCGGGAGGGCGAGGGCATGGAGGGCGCACGCACCGTCAACAACACGCAGATCAACATCCAGATACCGGAGCGCATGTCCGACGAGGAGTTCCGGGCGATCATCGAGGGACGGCACCGGGAGATCGAGCATGACGGCTAGCGTCGCCGATACGGTCGCCCCCACCCGCTTCCAGCAGGCGGTGCTTAGCTTCCGCGGACACTGCAACATCCTGAACGCGGGCGGGCGCGGATCGGGCAAGTCGTTCTCGATGATGCTCGACCTGCTCGACCACTGCCGGCTGCACGGCGCAGACGCGCGCCCGCTGGTCATGCGGGAGAGCTGGGGCGGGCTGCTCGAACTCACGACCGAGGTTCTGGACCTCGCGTCCGCCGCCTTCGGGCGATGCTCGCGCAACAAGGCCGAAGGCACAATCTACCTGCCGACCGGCGGCGTCATCACCTTCACCAACATCGGCGACGAGAACAGCTACGCCCGCCATCAGGGCCGCAGCTACACCGGCCTGTTCGCCGACGAGGTCGGCAACTACCCGCCGCAGGCGTTCGCCTTCCTCCAGCGCGTCCGGTCCAACCTCCGCGTCCCGAGTGGCCGCCGGGTGGACATCCACCTAACCGCCAACCCGCACGGTCGCAGCCACACGGTGCTGTTCAAGAACTTCATCTCGAAGGCTCCGCCGTGGCATCCGTTTCAAGACAACGTCGGCGACTGGTGGATCTGGACCACCAGCACCTTGGAGGACAATCCATACATCGACCGCGTCGCCTACCGCCGCCAGCTTGTCGCCAGCACGGGCACCGACCAGGCTCTTGCCGACGCCTGGATCAACGGCGACTGGTCGGTGCTGGGCGGCGTCATGTTCGACGTGTTCGACCCGGCGGTGCACATCATCCGCGACCCGGCCCACGCCAGCATGCGGCTGCGCTGCGGCGGCGACTGGGGAACGGCTGCCCCGGCGACCTGCATCCTTCTGGGCCAGCTCAAGAGCGATGTCGGCCCGTACCGCTACGGCAGCATCATCGCCCTGGACGAGACCGACACCGCCGACCCCAGCGACCTCTCCTTGGGCAACGGCGCGCCGCCGCAGGCATTCGCCGAGATGGTCCGCGAGATGTCCGCCCGGCACGGCTGGCGCAACCCGCATGTCGTCATGGACGACGCGCGCGGCCTGCAATCGGACACCGTCATCCAGCTCCTGCGCGAGAACGGCATCGGCGCGCACAAGCCGATCAAGAAGGACCGCGTCGGGCAGTGGTCCCTCATCCGCAGCCTGCTCAGCAATGCGGTCACGGGCGACGGCCCCGGCCTCTACTTCACCAACCGCTGCCCGCACCTTCTCGAAACCTTGCCGGAGGCCCCGCGCGGCACGCTCCGGCCGGAGGACATAGACCCGAAGTGGCCGCGCGACCACTGGCTGGACGCCCTCGCCTATGGCGTCCGAGACCTCTGGGGCAATCGCGCCGCCAGCGGTCGCCATACCGGCATGTACTGACACCGAAGGAGAGACACATGGCACAGCAACCCCACGACATGAACCGGCGGGCTCGTCCGCCCAGCAACACGGAGGCCACGACGGGCGTCGTGGTTCGCCTCGACATCCCGCCCGACCACCACCCGGCAGTCCTCAAGGGCGACGGCCCCGGTGCCACTCTGGGCCGCGACGCGCTCACGGGTCTGTATGACGCCTACGGCAGGATCAACGACACCGCATCCAAGGTTCAGGACAAGGGTCGCCTCGCGCAGGCTGCCCAGCCGTTCGCGGAGCGCGCCGTGCAGCAGGCCGGGCGGGCGGTCACGACACTGCGCAAGCAGGTCGAGCATCTGGACACCGAGATCGCGTCCACCCTCAAGCCGACGGTCGAACCCGGCCTCGCCGCGCAGATCAGGTCGCACTGGTCGCGGAGCGACAAGGCGCTGTCCGGCCTACGCAAGGTCATCGAGGAAGGCGACACGGCGACGGCCAGCGCCGTGCTCAACGCCCCCGCCTACCTCTCTGGGCTGTCCGACAAGGACCAGGCGATCCTCCGCCAGATGGCGGCGCAGAAGTTCGCGCCCGAGAAGGTGGCCCAGCGAGCCGAGACGGCGGACGCCCTCGCGCGTGTCGAGCGTGCGACGGACCACTTCATGGCGACCATCGCCGGTCGGCTGCGGGAGTGGCGGGACGAGGACGCCAAGATCATCCAGGAGGCGCTGCGATGACGGAGCGAACTCAAGAGCAGGTCAGGACCGCGCTGGCCGAGAGCAACCGCCAGATTGCCCACATCACCGGCAAGATGGAGGCGATCTACGAGGGTCTGCCGCGAGACGAGACCGCCATCGCCGACCTGATGCAGACGACCGGATGCGACCGCGAGCGAGCGGTTGCCGCGCTGGAGACCTACGCCGCTGGCAAGATCACCGCGCTCCGAGACCAGACCGGTCCCGCCGAGCCGACCGACGGCGCGCCGTCGGACCCGGCGGTGAAGCGCTTCCGGGAGTTGCTGGCCGATGGCGCTGCGTGACGCGATCCGCTGGCTGGTGCGCGAGCGCCGCCGCGACCGAGCGAACCTGTCCGCCTTCCGAGCGTTGCTCGCAGCTCCGCATGACCTTGGTGCCGGGCCGTTGGTCATGCCCGCGCCCGGTCGGCTGGCGCTGGCCCACTCCGCTGGGCTGGCCGCCGGGCAGGTGACGGTCTCGGTCGGCGCGCGACGGTCGTTCAGCCACCCGGCGCTCGCAGCCGACGAGGTCCATCGCGGCATCCACGCCGAGGAGGGGTTCGCCATCACGCAGACCGGCGCGCCCCTGGGCACCCTGTCGCTCTACCTCGTGGACCCGCTAGACGGCACGCATGCCCTGATCGCAACGCAGGTGGTGGCGTGACCGAGCCGCGCCTTGCCTCCGTCGACTTGGCGCGGTTTCTGTCCGACGCCCGGCGGGCGCGCTGGTCGTGCGGCTCCCCCGGCATGACACTCGACCAACTCCGGCAGCTCGGCATCTCGCGCAAGGAGGCCCGCTACCTCGCGGCGCGGGGCGTGGCCGTATTCGACCCGCCGCTGCCCGACGTGATCGTCACCGAACCACTCCGTCCGCGATCACCGCGCCCCAGCCCAAGAAGGCGACGGCCCCGAGGCGGCCCGAGGGTCGAGGAGCGCAGCAAGCCTCGCACCCCGACCGTCGAGCGGGCCTGCATGACTTGTGGTGGCATATTTGCGAGCGAGGGGCCGCACCATCGCATGTGCGACCGCTGCCGCCGTCGGGCGGCCGACGTGAGCCCCTTCGAGCCGAACGAAGGGGCTTTGTAGCGCGCAGAAATCACGAAGGCCAGCCGCCAAATATGGGGAAGGTCGGCGTCAAGTTTGATTCTGGTCTTTGCTCTGGGCCATGCCCGGCTAGAGATTGGTGACCAGCTCGTACATCTTCTCACGGTAGCGGATCAGTCGCTGGTTCACCTGCTCCAAGTCCTCCTTTAGCGCCTCATAATCGGGAAATTCTTTCTGCACATCCTGGGGTGCTGCATCCACCCGATCCTCGTGCTCCAATGCCCTCTCATACCAGCGCCTAAACCGAGCCTGCCACTTTGTCAGGTGTGGCCGTATCCCGGTGTTCAGAACCTCGATTGACAGGCGGATGATCTTCTCTGTGTCCTTGCGCCTGAAGCGGGATACCGGCACATCCTTGATGAGTTCGCGCGTAACCGAGAAGAAGTTGTACCAAGAGTCGTATACCTCCGAGATCACGTCGTCGTTCAGATCAATGGGAAGCCCGATCTTTCGAGTGCTTAGCTCTACCCAGATCTTGTATGCGATCTGCCTGTCTGTGACGTTTGGGCGTAGTGTGATTCTCTGATCGCCAAGACCGAACTGCGTCTCATCGATCTCAAACCGCCTCCAGCCACCGCGCCAGAAGCCAAAGAGCCGGACGGCAAGAACGAGCCCAACGAGCCCAAGCCCGACCCAGACTACGACCGCGTCGATTGATACAAAGGCACCGAGGTCTTCGCCGAGCACGAAGGTAACAAGTTCATCGCCGGTCAGTTGGGGTGCGGGCGCAGTCGCCGCCATGTCAGCACCGCTTGTTGTAGGCGAACCGATCCCTGCGGTTCACAATGTACTTGGCATGGGTGGTCCTTCGACCGTGCGCTGATTCAATTGCGTTTACTAGTGCGTCGGTGCTGCTTGGGTAAGCGATCCAACGGGCAAAGCAATTGTCATGGCCCAATAGGTTCTCGTTGAGACGCTGCGGGTATTGACCGCCGCTTGACGGATAGCTTGGCAGCTTGATGGCCAGCAGGCCATTCGGCGTCACGGTCTGGCCCTGCCGGAGCGACGCCTGAATCTCCCAGTCGACGTAGCGACGCGCCCATGTACACCGCCCAAGCATGACCAGCGTCACCGTTGAGTCCGACAGATAGAGCTGCCGAATCCGCTGCATGACATAGTCCGTATTGGTGCTGTTGACGATGTCCTCGCTCATCTCCTGACCAAGCCCACGAGCGATGAACGTATCGAGCTCGTGGTCAAAGTCGCGAACGAATTGGCTCACCTCGTCTTGGTCGGCGTGGTGGTAAGATATAAAGCATTTCCGACGCACAACTGCCATCGACCGTCTCCTCGCGACTGTGCGCCCTGCTGGGCTACTTGCCCTTCTTGCGCCTGTCGGGCCGCTGCGTCAGTGCCGAAGCGGCTGCTGACTTCTGAGCCTTGGTAGACTTCGGGTCCCGCAGCACTTTCGCTGCGGCCGATGCGGCACGGGCACTCGTCACTTCCTTGTTTGGTTTCCTAGCCATATCACGACTCGCAATGGTTGAAGACACCGTCACTGTAACGCTAGCGAGTCGTATACTTGCTGTCAATATTTTACGAGCACAAAACAAGAACCATACTAGATGAGGTAATTGCTGCGACTAGTATCCGACGATGCACAAGGAGAATGGCATTCGGATACGCGAGTGCCCGAAGAGCGCATCAGCCACAGCCACGGTATTGTCGTAGTCGTTGCTGGTGACTTCCCTGCCGCCCGACTTGTACCTGTACCCATTCGGGACGGCGAGCACCAAGTGATCCAGGTTCACCATCACAAGCGCTTGAATGAGGTCGCGATATACCGCATTGCCCATCCAAGCTCGGCCCGCCTCGACCTCTAGGCCAGCGCGCCACTCTGGCTGCCAAGCGTCAATCTCGTACTGCAAGCTCGGCTGGGCGTTCTCCCCAAAGAAGACCGGTCGCCGTATCTTCTGCTCTGCGCGCTTCCCCGCCTCGACCACAAATCCGAGGTCAGTTAGGTCCGGGCGAAGGACGGCAAGAACCTCGTCGCTTGTCAGTCCCTTCGCCAGATCGCGGGTAGATATCTCCGATTCGTGACGCTCGAACACCCCAACCAATTCTTCGATGAAGTCGGGTGGGCTCTGGGTTCTTGGGAACGTTGCGAATCGTACAAAGGGCATTCAGCACCACTGGTGTCATGAAAATTGGCGCGCCCGGCAGGATTTGAACCTGCGACCTACGGCTTAGGAGGCCGTCGCTCTATCCAGCTGAGCTACGGGCGCTGAAACGGTCCGCAAACGCCATCGCGAACCGTGATCGTGACTTGCATACCCTGTAATTACAATATCTTATCTCGTTCAGGTTCAGGGATTAGGAATCTGGTGCTCTATCCGGCTGAGCTACGGGGACACGCCGAGGCGGGCGGCCTGCGGGCCGCGCGCGGCGGTCGGTGCGCCAGGGCGCCGGGGCGCCGCCGACGGGCCGGAGGCTGCAATCTGCGGCTTCGCGG